GATGCAAGTTAAACATGCATTATTTATCTTTAAAATTCCATTTACTCGCGCTGCTAAATTGTTGATATACGTCCCTGGTTATATGAATTACTCTGAATAACCGAATTAAACAAACGCCGGAAAGGAGAAGGGTTTTCTCGCTAAGTTCATTATATATAAAACTAATAATACATGAATACCAATGCACTCAACTGCAAGGAATTGAGTATTGACACTATATTATCCTCGATTTGATTTGAATATATTTCATTTGGGATTCAAATGTGAAAACTTTGCTTTCTATGCAAAATTATATATATACATTTTGTGTATACAACTATTGTACTTATTTCATTTTAATAACTCTATTTTGTGTGTGTTTGCCCCAATAGAAGACCAATTTTTGTTTAATGGAAGTTTAATGGAAGTTCAATGGTTTCAGTTATACCCTAGGTAAAACACTGACAACGTATATAATGACCACTCCCCCAACGAGCTGTAACATATTCATATTCCCTAAGTCTCTCCTCTCCCTTACAATCTTAACTAACCCCTCAAGTTCATAATAAAGTTCCTCGGCCAGCAGGTTCTTCTAGTTCCCTTGTCCCATTTGGCAATATCCTATGTGAGGGTGACACCTTCAAATTCATCAAATAGTTGAGAACTACCCTGAAATTCTTCCCGTCACGGTCCAAGAAATACAAGTACTTATGTGCCACTTCATATGGTTGGTGTTTGGAGTCCTTCTGCACCATAAGTGATAGGATGCTGGGTTCGGCCAATAATTTTGCTGCACTTGTGATGAATTTCTCTCCTTCTGTCTGTCGATGTGTAATTAAAGAGGCTGACAGCACACTACTCGTCCTCATTTCTGGCTGTATCAGGTGTCTCCTGATGATTCTCATCATCCTCATTTACAATGGTGGTGCTTTCCTTCTCTGGCTGTATATGTACTTCCCCAAGCTGCGTTTCCTGGATTTCCGGCAGTGCTTCCACGATCTCTGGCTCAAGATCCTGGATTTCTGGTTCCGGTTCTTGCACCTCCGGCTCCAGTCCCTGTATATCCGGCTCAATCTGCTGTAATTCCGGCTCAATTTGCTGTATTTCCGGCTCATCTGGCTCCTCATCTGACACGTGAATTAAGCACTCCGACATCGTGAGATCTGCTTCCAGGTCCGAAGAGGACTCCTCTTCTGATGAGGTAAAAATTCTGGGACGCTTAGGTGTTGAGACTTTCCTTCGCTCTGGCTGGTGTGGGGGAACGGGCATGGTTCTTTTCCTAGTCGGCGCCTCCGACTGGGAAAGCGGCTTCCGGCTATCCAGGACTTTGGGTTTAAGTGAAGTGACCCTGTGTTCAACAGATGCAACCTTAGGTGGTTGTCCCCTTGCCGGCGATCGCCTTCCTCGGTGTCTTGAGGCCATTTCTGCTTCCCTCCTGCCTTTCCTGGTGTGTTTGTGGCTCCCGAGTTATCTTTACAATACTCGGCCTTCTCCCTCTCTGGAAGCTGATAAACTCATCTTCTTCTACATTAGAAAATGTCATTGTTGTTCTCTTCACCGTCTCCATCACTCCCCCAATACATTTGGCATGTCTTACATCCACACTATTGGCTATTCCCTTGCACATAGAACATCGGAATATATAACCCGAATGGGCAGCCATCATGTGCGTCTCTACAAAATATAGCTTGGCATAGTCGCTGCCGTCGTTGCACATTCGGCATTCGTATCTTGTAATTGTCTGTCAAGAAACCAAAAGCTTATTTTTAATAAACGATCTCTTGTTAAATACTGGTAAATTTGTTTTGTCCATTATATCAATAAATATATATATAGGTTCCTATCCAGCATGGATGTGTAGAGCTAATTCCCACCTAGTCTCCCCAGGTGTTGGTGCCATTATATACTTTCATGTGCTTGTGGTGAACAATTCTGAATTTACTCCGGCGGGTTTTCTGCACCCGGTAAACAACATCATTAAGTTTTTGTGCCACCCTGTAGGGATTCCCCAGTGAAGTTTTGTTTCTTTCCCTTTATAACTAGGGTTATATAACCTGACAAGATCTCCACTCTTAAATGGGTTTAACTGTATTGTTCCTGTCATGATTTTTCTTCATATTGTCAGTAGTCAGTTTCAGGCGTCCTCTACCAAACTCATGTATTTTGTCTAATTTATGTCTTAGCTCCATAGCAAAATCTGTCTGAATTTTGTCATTTTCAGATTCTATCCGTCCCCACACCAGGTCAATGGGAAGATTTATGCTTCGCCCAAAGGTCGTCTCGCAGGGAGACACTCCAGTTGATTCGTGTACCGAACACCGATAAGCCATCATTAGTAGGTATATGTAGTCATCCCAGTCTTTCTTGTTTTCGGCGACAAAAGCCGAGAGCATATCCTCTATTGTTTCGTTCAACCATCCCATCAGATTGAGGTCTATATGGGGTGGTTCTAGTCTTCTCTATTCCCAATATTTTGCACATTTCCTTGAACACTTCAGACTTAAAATTTGTCCCTTTATCTGAGTGTAGTTGCATAGGAGTTCCAAATATGGTAACAACCCTTTCTACACATTTCTGAGCTACTGTTATAGCTTTTTGGTTTCTCATTGGTATAGCATCCACCCACTTAGTAAAATAATCGGCAACTACAGGTAGATAAATATTTCCTCTGTTGCTTAAAGGAAAGGGTCCCAACACATCCAAAGCCCATCTCTCCATGGGTCCCCCCCCAACCTGGTAAGTCTGCATGGGAGCTTCAGCACATTTATTGCATGGCGGTGATATGGCTCGATCTCCTTTCAGAATCTCTTGCATTTCAACAACATATTCCAATGTTCTTCGATGGTTCCCTGTTTTCTTGTTGTGGACAACAACCGACTTATAATGTTGCTTTAAGGTTTTCTCGCAGTTGTAATGAGGAACATTGTAATGCCGCTCTTTCATTTCAGTTGCAATTTGTTTCCAGACAGATATTTTATTCACTGATGATTTAAACTTCGGTTCATACTTCCTGTACTTTGATATCAATAATTTGGTAGATACCGTTGTCCATTTGAACTGTAAAGTGGAAAGAAAATATTAAAGGTCACCAACAGGTCAATGAGTAAGAAAGACCATGATTTGTCACCATACAATATGTTCAAACTGTCACGGTATGACATGTAGTTAGGGTTTTATGTATACCTGTAGAATTAAGTTATGATATTTCTGGACTAGAAATATATATACCGCAACTTAGCGGGATTTGAATTTTGCCACTTATTATTTTTACCCTGTTTTACAATGTAGATATCGGTAGCTGCGGGGTTTACATGTACTAGGCCGGGTGGAAGTTTTTAGCCAATCAGAAATAAGATAGGCCGATCTCCGGGTAGAGGCCGATCTCCGGGTAGAGGAGAAAACATTCACCTGGGCGGCGGGCATGTTGTCGAGTGGGAGAAAATTGTCGATGTATTGCTGTTTAGGGCTAGTTTTGGCCATGGAAAAGCTCCGTGGTGAACGAGTGATGGGCTAGACACCAGGGTGGGAACCTAACCAGGACAGCTGCGCATGGCTTGAGCCCAGGCAGGACCAGTTCAACGTACAGAACATGGGCGAACGACCTAAACTTTATCTAGACATATGAGTGTACGTCTATAGCTGACCACACGGACCATCCCTCTACGGCTCAAGCAGCACATCAACGTGGACGGCGATACACCTGGGGTTCACGCGCCGGGACTCTATCATTTGTGGGAAGTGATAAAGGATCCAGTGGCTTCCAATATGTAACATTCGAAGTAGAACGTAGTATTTGAACTGTGTATTGGAACTGTGAATTAGAACTGTTTATTTGAAGAACATTCATTATAGTATATTGGATCATGATATACTAAGAGGAAATTGGATAGGGTAGTAGAATAGTTTCGAGTCACTTTTATGTGCTTGTGGTACGGTTAATACTTGGAACCATTGAATGGGTTATGTTGATTATTCTCATTGAAATGTAATGCTCTAGTCAGACTCTAATTATTGAAATGTCACAGTAGTCACAGCAGTCAGTATTGTTATTTTTTATCTGGCTGGTGGAGAGATGAAATCGTAGGGAAATTTGGATTCTGTAGTACTTTATTCTTTGTCGTTTTTAGCTCACCTGGTACGGAGTGCCAAGTGAGCTTATGCCGTGGTGCGGCGTCCGTCCGTCAACTTTTCCTTTAAACAACTTCTTCTGAAGAACGGACAGGCCTAGACTCATGATATTTGGCTGAAAGCTTCGTTGGTAGGAGCCCTACAACGTTTGAGAACGAAAATGACCTTGACCTGTTTTCAAGGTCACAGTGGTCAAATATGTCAAAAACTTCAAACGACTTCTTCTAAAAAACTAAAAGGTATAGAATCTTCATATTTGGCTGATGGCTTCCTGGGATAGAGCCCAACAAAGTTTGAGAATGAAAATGACCTTGACCTACTTTCAAGGTCACAGGGGTCAAATATGTCAAA